GTAAACAGAGGCTGGAACCTGGCTGGAAGTGGCTCAGGGAGCTTCAGAATGACATTAGGGCCCTCTGCATCCCTGCCTTGGCTTGTCATCCTCTCAGGGCTCCAAAGTGGGCAAGCTGACCCTCAAGACCACGGAGATGGAGACCATCTATGACCTGGGTACCAAGATGATTGAGTCATTGACGAAGGACAAGGTGCAGGCTGGGTAAGCAGTTGGGGACCAGCCCAGGTGGCCAGGGTTGTGGAGGAACTTGGTCCTTTCCTTTCCTCACTCCTGCCCTTGCTCCCTGTGCAGGGATGTGATCACCATTGACAAGGCCACCGGCAAGATCTCCAAGTTGGGCCGCTCCTTCACGCGTGCTCGTGACTATGACGCCATGGGCTCACAGGTGTGCTTAGGACTTTGGGGACTCCTCAACCACAGGAACCCCGGTGTCCCTGTGGTACTCCTGGGTCTTCCCTGTAACCCTTGGACTGCTGGCACCCCTCCATGCAGCATTGCAATTCTGCATTGGCTCCTCAGATTCCCACCACCATCAGTGCTTGGGGGACCCCCACCTGGCCTCCAAACTCCATTCCAGGATGTCCTTTGCACTCCCTGCATGTGCCCTTCTGTGCCCTCACACCCCACCTCTGGCCTTGTAGACCAAGTTTGTGCAGTGCCCAGATGGAGAGCTCCAGAAACGTAAGGAGGTGGTGCACACTGTGTCCCTGCATGAGATTGACGTCATCAACTCCCGCACCCAGGGCTTCCTGGCACTCTTTTCAGGTGAGGCCTGGCCACTGCAGTCCCTGGGGCCTTCCCCAGACACCTCTGTTCCACCTGACACAGCCCATCTAGCCCTGGGCCTTTCTATTGGCTGCATTCTGTTCTCCATCTGTGAGGTTTTTTGTTTGGTTTTGTTTTTATCTTTTCCCAATATTGCTATCCACCTCCCTCTTTCAGGTGACCTGTTGGGGCAGGTCACTGCCCGGTGTCCCTCCTAGTTCTCTGCCTCTTTTTCTCCTCTTTGGAACCACTTCAGACACTGCAGCCCTCTTGTTGCTTTGCATCCCGGTCTTGGTCTCTCCTTCCTCAGTCCATGGCATCCCGACTTTCTCTGTGTTGGTCCACCCTTGGGCCCTGGACTTGAACTGCTCTTTAAGTTCCCTGATGCCTCCCTGTCTCCTGCAGGTGACACAGGGGAGATCAAGTCAGAAGTCCGAGAACAGATCAATGCCAAGGTGGCTGAGTGGCGTGAGGAGGGCAAAGCAGAGATCATCCCTGGGGTGAGTGGCCAGAACAGGGGTAAATGGGGAAGAAGGAGCAAGGGACGACTTCGACATATGCTTCAATGGCTCCAGGTGCTGTTCATCGATGAGGTCCACATGCTGGACATTGAGAGCTTCTCCTTCCTCAACCGAGCCCTGGAGAGTGACATGGCGCCTGTCCTCATCATGGCCACCAACCGTGGCATCACTAGGTGAGCAGCTACAGAGGCCTGTGGGTGGTGGTGGTGGCCACAGGTGAACAGGGACTGTTTACTAGTACCTTGTTGGGTAGGACCTTGGTGTCACAAACTGTTTGCTCGGGGCTGCCTTTGAACCTTGATCCTCCTGATCTCTGCCTCCTGAGTAGCTAGGATTATAGGTGTGAGCCACCAGCACCTGGCTGAAGAATGTGTTTTAATTGTGAGAAAAGCATAGTGACATCTGTTAGACTCTACGAAAACCGCTATAAACGATTAGGTCATTTAGACCTAGTGATGATTAAGTAATGATGCAAACTTCTAGTTTGGCCTAAAGATCCCTGAGACTGGGCTGGCAGAATGGTTCAAATGGTAGAGGGTCTGCCTAGCAAGCATGAGGCTCTGAGTTCAAACCCCAGTACTGTCAAAAAACCCGATTCCTGAGACACAAAGAACACCATGCTTAGATAAAATTTGGGATCCTCTGCCAGGTGTGGTAATGCCCAGCTGTAATCTAGCACTAGGGAGCCTGAGGCAGTAGAACTGAGAGTTCAAGGCCAGGGGCTGGAGGTGTGGTATAAGTGGTAGAGTGCTTGCCTAGCATGCGTGAAGCTCTGGGTTCAATCCCCAGTAGCACAAAACCAAACCAAAACAAAAAGTTTAACAAACCTTGGTGCCCTGTGATGGACCGCAGTGTGTTGCTGGTACCTTGTGCCCAGTGGTCTCAGCTGGGTCTCCTTTCTACCTGGTCCATGTCTCAGCCACAGAAAGGGGAAGGAAGAAGAGGAGGGCAGGCAGCCCCCAAAAGGCTATGATTCAGAGGCTGCATCTGGCTCTTCCATCCGCTCTTCCATCCCAGTATTGTTGGGATCCATGGCTGTACCTGGCCATAATGGAGCCTTGTACCCAGATGAAACTGAGGATGGGGGGAGGAATCACTAAAGGGAAAAGGAGGCATAGCAGGCCAGGGCAACAGGCAGCTCTACTGGGCTCCAATGGACACTTCCTGGAGGGACTGGGGCCTTGTGATTCTGTGGGCCAATGCATACTCTGGCCATGGATTCAGTCCCCAGCACCAAAAAAACCCCCAAAAAACAAAGTTTAGGAGGTAGATACCATCTCACCCCTATTTTATAGACCAGTCCATTGAAGCTCAGTGACTTGCCCCAGGTCGTGTGTGACTAGAAGTGGCAGGCCGGAAGTTGCGCTCTGCCCTGTGTTTGTGGCAGCTGCAGATCAGGGCTGGGAATTATCCTGCGCACTCTGGTGAGGAGGTGGCCAGTACTGCCGCTCTTCACCATTTGACAGTACACCCTTATCACCTGCCTGCTCTCTACAGTTTGTTTGTAATCCTCAAATCAATACTTGGTGCGTTTGCCATCACTCCCAGGCATGTGCAGTGGCACACGTTCAAACTGCCTAATGCCCACGTTCCCAGCCGAGGTTCACCAGGAGCCACTCTGCCTGCTGGTTTCAGTTCCCTGGCTGTAAACAAGGGTTATTTTCCTGATCAAGTCAGTGCTGTTTAACATTTTTTTGTGTGCTTTTGATTTTTTTTTTTTTTTTGGTGCTGGGTTTTGAACTCAGGGCCTCATGCTTGCTAGGATCTACAACTTAAGCCCTAGTCCTGGTCTTGCGATTTCAGTTTAAAAACTCCCCCAAGCATAGAACTGGAGTGCCATCTTGCATCCCTAAGCACAGGGAGACTGATGTGTCCAGCAGAAAACACGTGTGTGACATAGTTTCCTGCAGGCTTGAGTGGTCCATTTTAAATAAGGTGACATCACAGAAAGCATAATGGATCGGTTGACTGACAAAAGTGTTGCGACAGAGAGGTTCTCAGGAGCCTACTCTTGGGAACAGTAGCTCTGTAATTGCTAATTGGGTGTCCTCAGTGACTTTATAGACCACAGCTAACATGAATACTGAGAATTGCCTGAATCTCCTGTTGCCTGCTGGCCAGCCAGGCCTGGGCTTCCCCAGGTGCAGCAGGGAACAAGACAGGCACAGTCCCAGTCCCTTTCCCTGTGGAGTGGGACCTTGATGCAGTAATCCAGCCATGGACACCTGGCTTACACCAGCCTCTGCTCTGAGGTGACGCAAGCCAGGAGCTGAATGTTAAGTAGCATTTAGCCCACCGAGTGGGCTGTGATGGACAGGGTGGGGGGAGTATTGTGAATGCAGAGCCAGTTTCCAGGAACATCACCTGACAGCCCTGCCTGCCCCTTCCCCAGGATCCGGGGCACCAGTTACCAGAGCCCCCACGGCATCCCCATTGACCTGCTGGATCGACTGCTCATCGTCTCCACCTCTCCCTACAGCGAGAAGGACACAAAACAGATCCTCCGCATCCGGTGCGGGCAGGCCCAGGCTGTGTGTCTGAGAGGCCGGGACACTGAGGGTGGGGTTGGGGGGGGTGACTGGTCCAAGGGCTCTGGTTCTATGGCAAGGGCTAGAGAGGGGGAGGCTGAGTGGGGCATCCTGGCTGGGGACCACCCACTGTGGAGTAGGGAACAGAGAGACAACTGACTGAAAGGGGAGATGTCTAAGGCCAGGTTTTAAGTCCGGCCCATCTCATGCCTCAGGGGCTCTTCTAGCTCAGCATTCTGTGGTTGAGACACAGCCTCCATGTATGCTCGGGACAGGGCCAGGGGTGGCTGTGGCCGAATCCTCTGCTGTCGCAGAGGTGGCTTGGCTGACGCCCTGCCCACCTGTGTGCAGGTGTGAGGAGGAGGATGTGGAGATGAGTGATGATGCCTACACAGTGTTGACCCGAATCGGCCTGGAGACTTCTCTGCGCTATGCCATCCAGCTTATCACAGCTGCCAGCCTTGTGTGCCGGAAACGCAAGGTCAGTTGGTGGGGCGGGCCTGGTGGGTTCACAGTGGATGGCTTCACAGTCCCTTGAGGGCTGCAGTGGGGTGTTGCACTGAGTCCTCAGTACATGTCTTCAGAGGCAGGGAATTGGTGCTCAGTAAATTATCTGCCAAGTCCATCCCACAGATGAGGAAACTGGGGGATAGAGAGGCTGGATGCACAGCCAGGAGGTGGTCAGAGTGGATTTAAACCATGAAGATCTGGCCCAGAATCCACACCCTTGCCTGCCTGGGCCTGGGCCAAGAGGTGGTGGGAGCTGGGTCTGTGTGCCCTGGGCTGGATAGGGAAGGCCCCACTGAGGACCCGCCTGTCCCCACTAGGGCACAGAGGTGCAGGTGGATGACATCAAGCGAGTTTACTCACTCTTTTTGGATGAGTCCCGCTCCACACAGTACATGAAGGAGTACCAGGATGCCTTCCTCTTCAACGAGCTCAGTGAGTGTCCCACCCACACCTGTGCTCCACCACCTCCCAAGCTGGGTGAGACAAGCCAGGAGCTTGGTTGGGAGTGCTCCAGATTTCACTGACCTCCATTCTCCCCACAGAAGGCGAAACCATGGACACCTCCTGAGCTGAACATCATCCCACCATCCCACCCCCACCCTGTTTTCTACCAGAGTTCTGACACTGTGACTTTGTATAAAATGGTTTTGAAACTGGACCCCTGGTGTGGGTATCACCCTGAGTGCACAGAAGGACACCCCAGGGTGCAGACTGAAAAGCTTTTATTGGGAGCTGAGGGTTGGAGCATCTGTGGCTGCAGAAGTTGGAATGGGCATGGGGACTGGGGGGACCATCCTTAGAGGAAGAGGAGGCCTGGGAGGTGGGGGAGGTCACAGGTCAAGGGTTGGGCTCTGGGACCCCCGCAGTCAGAGCTGCTGAGGCGACAGGGCCCACAGTGACAGCTAAGGGCCACAGGAAAGGAGACCATGGGGTCCACGCCAGGCGGGCAGCCAGGGAGCCGGATGGAGGCGAAGCGAAGTTCACGGTAGGTGCACACGGGCTGGGGCACAGGAGGCAGGGCAGCTGGCAGCACCCGCACCTGGATATAGGAGTGGGAGAGTAGTGAGCATTCTGACAGCCAGGTCACCAGCCTCAAGTGTCCATGGGATCCACCACAGTTTCCTCCCACACTTCCAGCACTAACTGCAGTTCCTTGCCCAAGGTGCGAGGCTCTACACCCCCAAAACACCACCACCTCCTGCCTGCCCCGGGCAGCTCACCATGCTTGGGCAGTAGCCGGCACAGATGCTGGTGGTGAAGGTGATGCAGACAGGGCAGGCCTCGTTCTCCGCAGCTAGGGTGGCGTTGATGGGCCGGCACAGTGGCCTCAGGGGCCCCCTGGAGGCCCATACCCCGCTCACACTGAGCAGTAGCCACAGCAGCAGCCCCTGGGACAAGGCCAGTGCCTCAGGCCCTGAGCCCTTGTCTTCCCATCCCTGAGTGCAGTCAGGTCCATCAGGACCCCTCTGCTCTGACCCACCATCCCTGATAGCAGCTTTCAGGGCCCACTCCATGGCTCCAGGGATTCCAGATGTCCCAATGTCAGACAGCCACGCTCTGGCCCGCCCCACCTGCTGTCCTTCAGGAAACCTGCTGTGTCACACCCTGCTAGAAAGATGTTCCACAGACCCCATGACCGTCCCTCTTCGTGCCAGTTACAGCCTGGATGGAGTTGGGAGGTACCCAGGGCCCCTACAGCCTTACCTGGAGCATCTCCATTCTTGATGCCTCCCCTGCCTCCTCTACTTGGCTTTATACCTGTGGTCTGTGGGGGCGGCAAGGCCACCTGGCGGTGGCAGCAAGGTAGGGTAACCTGGACACTAATCTCCCTGGGGGCGAGAGTCAAATAAGGTCAGGGAGGTGCAGGAGGCGCTGACTCCTGCCGTTGAGAACATCAAAACTAAGTCGCAGCTGGGCACCGGTGGCTCAAGTCTGTAATCCTAGCTACTCAGGACACAGAGATCAGGAGGATCACAGTTGAAAGCCAGCCTGGGCAAACAGTTTTTGAGACCCTATCTAAAAACCCTTCACAAAAAAGGGCTGGTGGAGTGGCTCAAGGTGTAGGGTCTGAGTTCAAACACCAGTGCTGCATAAAAAAAAACAAAAGACACCACTGGGAGGTGACTTTGCAAACTTAGTGCTGGGGTGCTAGATCCTCCGTGTTGGAGGCCCAGGAAGTGGGGTGCTGGAAGTCCTGACTTGGCTCATCAAGGGAGGGGACAAGAAAAGGCTACCTTAGGCTGCTTCCACCTGCTTGGGTAGCAGGGTGCTGGACAGAACCTATCATACTCCCTTGAAACTGAAAGCTGGTAGCCCTCCAATGTCAGAGTACAACTTCTTAGAGACAGGGTCCAGTGTTAGATCCCATCCAGTCCGAGAGGGTCTCCAGATTACACAGTGCTCTCACTCACAAATCCACCAACCAGAGATCCTGTCTGAGCGTCTTCCCCACACCCAACTCCCGCAGAAGATTTGACCCCAGAAATTAACCTGGTTTAGGCTATTAAACTTGTTGCTTAGGGCAAGCCCCGCCCTCTCCCTGCAAGGGACGTATCCCACCCGCTAGGCCACAGGTTCCGTGTACATTTTCTGTGTTCAGTTCCTCCACAAATGAGTGGCACGTGCCTCAGTCTATCCCATCCCGCATGGTGGACCAGGCTCCTGGGCTCAGCTCCGCCCAATCCCCTTCCCGGTGTCTTCCTGACTAGGCCCCGCCCCACGGCTCGGGGAGCGTGTCCAGGGCGGGGCTGTCCTGCAGCTCAGACCAGCTCTGCCTTCGTGCTCCCGTAGCGGGAGTTCTCGGTGCGGTAGGCTTTAGGCACGCTGTAGATGCTGGGTAGGGCCTTCCGGTGGATGCCCCAGGGCGCCTCTGGGGGGCAGAAACGATCAAGACAGCGGTGTAGGTGCTGTGGGGAGCTGTAGGCCTCCTGAGTCAGCGACGGTAGCCCTCGGTGCGGCATGCTTGGCGTCACCAGGCGCACACGGGTCAAGCGAACCCGTGGCGGTAGGGGCAGAGACTGCCCGGGGTGGCCCCTGACCTGAGCTGAGTTCTCTGAGTTGGAGCAGGTCAGCGAGTCCTTGCAGGAGTATTCGGACAGCTCCTTCCTGTTGGAGGGAGCAAGGGGCGGCTGGATCCTCAGGACGAGGCTGGGCGGAGAGACTGCACACCCCAATTCCTGTATTTTGGGGCAAGGACACATGTGTAGGGGTTTTGGACTGCTGAAGAAGGGGACACGGATCTGGATTTCTGGCTCCAGGATGTTCAAGGGCCTGAAAACAAGGTCTTCTGTATCCTTGGGAAGAAGTAACTATATACAAATACCGAAGGAAGTTCCATCCTAGATCCTCAGGGCCGCGCTCCCAAGTATAGAACCCTTTTTTATGACTCTGCAGGCTTCCTATCCCTACCGAGATCCTAAGAGTTGACATTAAGGACGCCTGCGTTCTGAGAGTTATGGGCTACTGCTTGAACTTTGGTTTTTGCGTGTGTTGGAGGTAAGACAACTGAGCCAGAAGCTGGGGATGGGTGGGCTCCCGGCGACACAGGCAGGGTGGTGTGGAGCAAGGACACGAGCTCACTTTGTGTAGAAGCGAAAGTCTTGGGCAGAGGTGGTCAGATACAGCTGAAGGCCGTTCAGCACGCCCTTGTCGGATATTGTAAACTGCCGGCCAGACAGTTCGGGGTTCCTTGTCCAGGGAACTAGGGCCTGAGGAAGATTGGGGAGGAGAAATGGACAAGAAAGGGGTTTCATACCCTGTTCTATGCCCTGGGTCCCAGATTCAATCCCTCTTGGTGGGCTTCAACAATGTTCTGACTCCATCCCCAAATCAGAACCCTAACGAGCCCACGCACCCGTTCAATCCAAACACTTCCTGCTGGTCAAGGACTCAAATCCAAGCCCTCACTGCCTTCCCCTCTCCCCCCAAAGCCTCCCCAATTCTGCCTTCAGTCACACCTTCTTGGTCCTAACCCTGGAACTGAGATGCATCTTGGGTAACAAATCCACATCCCACTTCACTTTTTTCCTCAGGGGCAGACAGACACCTAGGCTGGTTCCCTCCCTGCCCCCCCCCTCACCCCACAACTCTGTGCCTAGCTTGCCAGCATCCTCACAGCTGAGAATTTCCAGGAGCCTCTTCCTTCTGGCCCCTCCTCAAGAGGTCCAAGTCCCTCCCCAGCCTTTATACTCCGGATCTAGCCCCGGATCCTTTAGCCACGCCCCCAAGCGACAAATTACTGCTGGCTCTGCTTTGGGATCTCCCTGTCTGGTCCCTAACACGGTATCCCCTGCACAGTCTTCCACTCTGCTACCTGAGAAGGTCCCCCCCGGTGGTGATCCCAGAGCTCCGGCGGCTGGGGCTCCACGAAGAGTGGGGTGCTGTGATCCAGGCCGGGCCAGCCCTGGTACTGTGCCTTGGTCTCGCTGCTCTGGTGTCTTGGGGTAAGCGGGAGGCGCCAGCCGCGGTGTCTGAGCTGCAGGAAGAACCGCCCAGAGACCCAACGTGAGGACGGCGCAGTGAACTCAAGTGCAGTCCCCAACCGCGTCGCCCTGCGAACACCGGATACCCAGAACCTGACCTTTTCTTCTAAATCCTTGATCCCCATGGTCCGCGTGGGGTCCGCAGGCTCTGCAGCCTGGGGCTGCGCGCAGGGCCCGCCATGGGTCTTGGGCACGTACGCCGAGCTGGAGGTGGTCTCCCACCTGTTGATGACCTCGTCAAAAGCCCAGATGTGCAGATCTTGCTTTGCGGCCGGGGGTAGGGGAGCCGTGACCGTGGACTGGCAAGAGGCGCGACACCTAATTAAAAGACCGTCCTCCCTCGCCCCAGCCCTTTCCTCTGTCCAGCCCCTGGCATCCAGGTTCCCCGATTTCTTCTTTCTCTGGCCCAGGACTAAAGTACCTGCCTCCGTCAGACCGGGGTCCAAACCCCCAGTCCCCTTTTCTCCCATCACCCAGGTTTCTGGATCACCAGGCAGGGGACCTCAGCCTAGGGTCCTCTCACCGGTATGGTGGCCGGGGGGAAGGGCGCGGTTGGGATACTATGGTGGGCTACACCGCTGCTGGTGAGATGCCAGTTACGCCAGGATCCAGACACCTCATTTCCAGAGATGGGGGACCATACGGGGCCACAACGCAGAGGTAGGGTCTGGCCGGCCATGGTCCCACCCCCACCCGGTAGCTGAACTAGGAGGCGGCTTGTTGTCGCTGTTGCCCTGAGTAACAGAACCCGCCCACTCCAAGCCCAGCCAATAAAGGAGCTGCAGGCATGTGGATAGATCGAATGAGGAAGAGACCTCGGGACACAGACACGATCGCTAAGAGAGGACAGAGACCCCCAAGAGGGGCACAGAAACAGATACATGGGGGAGGAGTGAGGAGAGAATGACAGAGACAGAAAGAGGAGGGCAAAAAGGGGGCAGCCAGAGAAAAGGAAGAAGTCTGAAAGTTTCAAATGAAGGAAGGGGCAGGAGGGGGGCAGACGGAGAGGCAGATGCAAAGGGGGAGGGGACAGATTTCCCTAGCACATCAGGGAGGAAATCTATGAGAACCCCCCCCCCGCCTCCTCTTTCCTTCTGGCTGCCTCCCGGCTCTGCCAGCCCTACCCACCTCGGGGTAACGATTTCCAGACGTCCCGGGGCTCTCCCACCCTCCCTGCATGTGCGGAAGGAGCCCGCGTCGGCGTCCGTCGTCCTGCCTGCCTTTGATTTGGCTGAAAACTTCCACCTGGATATGGGAGGAGGGGGCAAGAGGGAGACACTCGAAGGGAAATACACAGGGAAATACTTAGCTGAAAAGAGGGGCGTGCGCTAACCCAGAGACAAGAGACACAGGAAGTTACAGAGACAGAGAGGGAGGTGGCAAAAAAGAGTGGGAACAGGGACACTAACACAGAGGCAGTAGACCCTGAGCTACCCAGGGGCCCTGGGGGAAAAGGGGGATGTGTAGGTCCTTAGCCCAAAGCTGGATCTAAAAGAGTGTATAAACCGACTGGGGGCTGTAACTCAGTGGTGAAGCGCTTGCCTACTATGCACATGGCTCAAGGTTGCGGGGGTGGGAGAAACTCATGGTCATGTTTTAAAATTACAGTTGGACTGGGGTTGTGGCTCAAGAGGTAGAATGCTTGCCTAGTAAGCCTAGGCCCTGAGTTCAGTCTCCAGTACCACGCACACAGAGAATGTGTTGGCTGCAGGCATGGGGCAGTGGAGGGGGTGGGGACTCTCCTTGTCACCTCCTCTGATTAAGAGCTTTTGTAAAGCCTCTGCAAACTCATTCCCCATTATTTCATCCAGCCAGCCCATTCGTCAGACAGGGACAACTGAGGCCACTTTCTACATCCTAGCCCAGGGTTCTACTGACACCCCCCATACCACCCAGGCCTCTGGGCTCCCTTCTGTTGGATCTTGCTTCCCCTACTCAAAGCCTCTCAGGGTTCAGTGATCCCTGATCATAACCAGGCCCATTGATCAGAACCTCATGTCCTATACAAACTGGACAGTTTTAAGGTATATTTAATTCGCAATGGGGGGGGTAAAAGTCGCATGACTCCAGCTCCCCATCTGGAGCTGAACTCTTCAGCATCCTGATCGCTTGATCCATACTGTATTCCAAGGCTTGTCTATCCAAGTAGAATTTCTCATTTAATCCCTGCTCCTAGATACTTAAAAGCCTTCTGTGGACCATATTTTCAAAGTACTCCTATCCACTTCTTGACCTGTCATCATCTTGTCCCTCTCTCCAGGGTGGGCCAGGTTTCTGACTGTCAAATCCACAAGAGTTGATCAGGGGAGTAATGTATCAGCGCTGATATACAGCAATCAGTAAATGTTCACTATTATTATTATTATTATTATTATCATTATTATTATGACCCTCAAGTTCCTCCAGGAGAACTCCTATTCATCCTTTGAAACCCCATTTAGTTTCATCACACATCCCGCACATACTGAACTCTCAAAATCAGAGAGACTTGACTCTGTGATCATTGAAGTTCCCAAACAGAAAGTCTTAAAATATCCAGGCCAGTCCTGAGGTCTCTGAGCATACAGCTTTCTTCTTTTCTCTGCAGGATCAGTTTGTAGGCATGGGCCTCAGGCCCGGCCAGTCCGACTGAGGAGAGTGCACACACAGGCAGTGTCAATTCGAATCCATCGCCAGCCCACACGGCCCTGGGCATCAGCAGTCAATGCCCGCACATAGGATTGTTTGGCCTTGCATTCGGACACCCAGTGCCTCCGGTCCACTCCCCGGCAGCCACCTCCACCAGCACCAGGGACACCTTCCCCAGCGCTATCGACCTTACAGCGGGTCTCAAAGAAGTACTGACGGAGAGGGCTGCCACCAGCAGCAGGCACCTCACCCAGCACCTCCACCTCACGCCCACGCAAGTCCACAGCTGTCCGACGGTCGGTCACCCAGCCGCTCACTGCATCACAAACAGCCAGTTCACCCCGGCGACTTGCTGGTGCTGTCTCGCTCACCCCACGCCGACTGCGGTTTGCTGGGGCACCCGCTGGCTCCCCAAAGGCCCCAGTCTCCAGCAGGAAGAGCAGAGGGGGGCCAGCAGGGGCACCCCTAGACAGAGCTACTCTGGGAGACAACAGGTCCCACTCAGGGGCCAGAAATGGGGGCAGTGTTGAGGGTGGGGGATTGGGCTCCATTGGGACACTGGGGAGGAGGAAGAGGAGGAGGATGGGGAGGGAGTAAGGTAGGTGGGGGAGCATCTCTTGAGCACCTGAAGATAGAAAGAGAAGCTGGGATTAGAGAAGAGTGTGGAAATTTTTGCAGAACCCAGGGATGGTTTGCATGCTAGAACTGTGGGGAAGCCCAAGGGGACCCTATATTCTAGGACTTAGGAGAAGTCCAACTTCTAAGTTAATAACAATTACTCAACTGCTATTACTTAATAGCTAGGCGAATGGAGAAGGATAGGCTCAGAAAAGTTAATGACTTTGCTCTGGGCATTGTGGTTCATGCCTGTAATCCCAGCTATTTGGGTGTCAGGAGTAGGAGGATTGCAATCCAAGACCAGCTCAGGCAAAAGTAAGAGACCCTATCTGAAAAATAACTAAAGCAAAAAGGGCAGGGGTGTGTGGCTTAAGTGGTAGAGTACCTACCTGGCAAGCATGAAGCCCTGAGTACCATCAAAGATAAATAAATTAATTAAATGGTTAAAGACTTGCACCAGGCCACGAAAATGGCAGAGCTGGGACTTGAACTCTGAGCAACTCCATTGTGCCCTGCTGCCGTTACAACCCTGAAGAACCCCATCTGGAAATCTAAGGAGACCCCTGTTGAGCTCAAAACTGCCACTAACAAGGCCAGACATTTCCCTTCTAATGGGTGGCCTCAGTTTCCCTGTGTGTGAAACTGACCCTGGCGGTTGGGAGAGGCTGATGGGGACATTTTTCTCTGCAACATTCTAGAAGCCTGAGGAGCACTAGAAGCAGCAGGTGATTACCAGACCTGTCAGCGCCTTCTCCGCCTCCTAGCTCCAGGGCTGGTGGCCCCCAGGCTCTGTGGGGCCCCTGTGGAGGACACAGGTGGCCCCCTCCTTCCTGACATCTCAGAAGAGGGAGGGGGCAGCCGCCTGGGGGGAAGAAGGGAACAGACAGGTTATATAGGCAGTGGGGGAAGGGGCCTGAGCCTCGGGGCACCCCCTTTCCGGAGTTCCTCTGGAAGTGTATGGTACCCAAGAGTCGAGGCCCCGCCCCTTCCCAGGTGATGGCTCCTGGCAGGGATGAGAAGCAGATGGGGGGAGAAGACGGGAGGGGGGACGGTGGCGGCCGATGATGGAGGCTGGAAAAGATTACATCCCCCTCTTTCTATTCATCTCCCAGACGGGGCGGGGGCGGGGCTGGCCTGGACACCCGGGTCCCCGCCGGCCCACACTCAAGAAACCTCAGGTCCCCGAGGCTGCTTCCTGGAATGTTCCCTCCTCGCAGGACAGGTCAGGGCCCGCCCAAAACGTCTACTGCGCATACCTGGAGCGGCTGCCTGTGCTAACTCGGAGATGGGGAAATGGGAAGTGCTGGGGTGTGACCAGGAGCGCAGGTTGACCCAACCTGGACAGGGAGTGTGGGACCCCAGCTGCCTCCCCCCTCAGATTAGGAGTCCTGGTTCTCCACCTGCCTCCTCCCTCAGAGTAGGAATCCAAGTCCCCAACTGCCTCCTCCTTCAAACACAGACGTCTAGCCTCCCATGTCCTTCAAACCCTCAGGCTGCCACCTCTCCCAGACCAGGAGCCCTGGTCCCCAGCGCCCTCCTCCCTCAGACCCTGAAGATCTGGAGTCAGGCTCCTCCAAACCCCGGGGTCAGATGCAGGCTCCCAGTCTCCTCCCCCTGGAGATTTGGGTTTGGGGTCCCGACTCCAGATCCGCGGTGGGGGACAAGTCTCCACATCTGGGACACCTCCCTCCTGCCTCAGTTTCCTCAGCCAAGCCCCGCCCCCGTCGGCCCCGCCCCCGTCCCTCCCTACCCGGGGGCAGGGCGACCCGGCCGCCGGAATCCCAGGGGAGGAGGCGCGGAGCTCCTACCTGGGGCGCCCTCCTCGGCTCCCCTGGCTGCTTCTGGCGCGGCGGCGGCTCCTCCTCCCGCTCGCTGGCTGCAGGACGCTCGCCGGCCGCCGGCTGCTCGCCGCTCGCGCTCTGGAGGGCCTGGGTCGGGGGCGGGGGCGGGGCGGCGCCCGACGGCGGAGGAGGGGCGGGGAGCCCGCCTTGCACACGCAGAAAGTGCCGGGACCTCGGAAGCTCGGCCTGGCTCGCTCAGCCCGGCCCGCCGCAGTGCCAGGAGTCCAGTCCTCGTCCTCTAGACCCAGGGGCCAGACCCCAGCCTCCCCCCTCAGATCCCAGGGGTCCAGACCTCAGCCTCCCCACTCAGACCCCAGGGGTCCAGACCCAGCCCTCCTCCCTCAGACCCAGGGGGCCAGATCCCAGCCTCCCCCCTCAGATCTCAGGGGTCCAGACCCCAGCCTCCCCACTCGGACACCAGGGGTCCAGGCCCAGCCCTCCTCTCTCAGACCCAGGGGTCCAGGCCCCTGTCCCCCTCCCGCAGACCAAGAGTCCAAGCCTAGTCCTCCTCCCTCAAACCCAGGGTCCAGGCCTGAGCCCCCTCCTCCCTAACACCCAGGGGTCCAGGCCCCAGCCCTCCTCCCTCAGACCCAGGGTTCCAGATCCCAGCCTCCTCCCTCAGACCCAGGGGTCCAGGCTCCAGCCTCCTCCCTCAGACCCAGGACTTAGGCCTGAGATTCCTATGGGGTCTTTGCCAGTTCAGTGTCACCCCGGGGGCAGATTCCCACCGTCTCTAATCCCACTCTCCCAGGAGCTCCCCGCCAGACATTAACCAGCTGGGCTTGGGCAGCGATAAGGCCTGACGCCCGGGAGACAGGGGATGTGGGGTCTCGCGCACATAGTCCTCTCTCCTGGAATTTCCTGGGTGGGGTCTGGGGAGAAGGTCTTGTCCTGAGGCAAATGAGAGAAATTCAAGGTATTATAGCACTCAGAAGCAGATATGTTTTAAGAACACAGTGACTTAAAAGAAACTGAACAGTGACAGATGCGGTGGGAGAAGTCTTAGAGATGGAGGAAAAGGGCCAGAGACCTAAGGAGAGGGAGAGGGACCGAGATCCAGAAATCCCAAAAGAGAAGAGAAGACAGAGAAAGGGAAAGGGAAGAAGGGAGAGAGGTGGGGGGGGGGAAGGAGAGAGAGAGAAAAGAAGAAGAGAGAAAGAAGGAGAAGATGTTGTTCACCCCCCCCCACACACAGAGCCCCAGAAGGAGGGACGGGCCCCAGAGGAAGATCCTGAGGAAGATAGATGAGATGTTGAGGTATGGTGGCCTGGACTGTCCTGCCCCTTGGGTGGCAGGGCCCTTCACCCTACCACACCTCCACTCTGGGACTCTGGCTCCCCTCCCCCTAAGCTATTTTTAGGAGGAAAGCTGACACCCACCTTGGGGGGTCATCTGGCACCCCTCCCTCTACCTAAATATAGCATGGCAAGGTGGCAGGAAGGGTGTCCCTGGATTGGGGTGTTCCCCTCTCGTCCTCCCATCCCAGCCAAGGCAACACAGAAAGCAGCTCCAGTTGCTTACTGGAGGTGGGGAAGAGCCACTTCCCTGTCTGGGTATCCATTCCAGTCACCTCTCTGACCTCCTCACTCTTCTTCCATGGGTACATCCCACTCCCTACCCCAGGGACTCTGTGACTTCCAGTCATTGGTGAGGGTCATGGGAATGAACTGGGAAGCAGTTTCTGTCCTCCTTCTCTGGGTGTGTCTCCTCCTCTGAGTCTCTGTCCCCCTCACTATTTTTGTTCCCCTCTCTCTGGGTCTTTGTCCTCCTCGTGTGTTTCCGGCCCCCCATCACCACCTGGTCTCTGTCCCTCTCTCTCTGGGTCTCTGATTCCCTTTCTCTGGTTTTCTGGGCCCCCCCAAGTCTCTGTCCTCCCCCCCGCCGGGTCTCTGTCCCCATCTCTGGGTTTCTGTTCCCCTTTCCCTGGTTCTTGCCCCCCCCAATGTCTCTGTCCTATTCTCTGAGTCCCTGTCCCCTCTCTGGGTCTCTGTCTCCCTCTCTCTGAGTCTCTGTTCCCTTTCTCTGGTTCTGTGTCTCTGTGCTAGTCTTTGGGTCCCTGTCCTCTCACCCAGTCTCTTAACCTCATCTCTCTGCCTTCCTTCCTTGTGCCCTTGGATTTCTCTCTGTTGCCTGGAATCTGTCCTTCTCTAGGTCCCAGTTCCTCTCTGTGGGTCTTATCCTCTGTGGGTCCCTAGGCTGGGGTCTCTGCCCTGAGACACCTTTTCTGTTGTCCCTGTGAGATAGGTATGTCTCCATTTCTTTTTCAGAATGTGACTTTCATTTCAGGGAAGTGACCATTTCAGAGAAGTGGCCACCTAAGGATTATTTTTAATCATTATAACTCTTCCCACAATCTACCTTCCCTCTTACTGTAGAAAAAGGTTGTTGAGGGAATTCTGAAATTTCCCAACTGAATTCTTTCCTGCATTCTATAACCTTTTGGGGGACTGGTTCTAAGGTTTGAACTCAGGGCCTCAGCACTTGCTAGGCAGGCATTCTACAACTTGACCCACGCCCCCAGTCCTCCCTCCCTGCACGTTGATTGGTTAATGAACTCAGAGGGGCGTGTCCTCAAACCAACTCCTTCCTGATGTTTCATACTGAGACCTCTAAGAAAGAGCTTGTGTGATAAAAAGCGGAGGGGGGGTGTGTAGAGATAACAATAATAGCACTGTAGATCACTGGACACGTTTAATAAATTAATACAGGTAAAGTACCTTGAAGGATTCCTGCCTCATAGGCAGCCCTATATGTGTTAGTGATTAGAACCGTCCTCCTTCCCCTCCTCTAAATGCCCTTTAGTCCCGAAAGACTCTGAAAATGGTGTTGCCACCGTGAGTAACAGTGTCCCCTCTGAGTACCAGTTCCTTGTCTATCAGACATGAGGCCAATTGCCTTAGAATGTCCCTGGGCACAGGCAGGCTGTGGGGGCGAGTGGAGTCAGGGTCAGGCAGCCTGCCATTAGTCCTGGCCCCATGACGTGCGGTGTGACCTTGGGAAGCCACTGTCCTGAGACTCAGGTTTCTCCCATGGAAAACACAGAACCCACCGCCTTTCCCAGCTGTGGGAGGATGGGTGACATGTGCTGGTTTGGGAATCTCATGGTTCAGAGAAAAGAGGTTGTGTGAGTCTTTCCCACTCAGGAACACTGAAGTTTTCTGCCTTTTTCATTGTTGGTTTTCTCTCTGAAGCTGTATGATCTGTCTCCAACTTTGGGGCCCGTCCCCCTCTCTCTGGGTGTCTGACATCCTCCTTTGGATTTCAATCACTCATCCTTGGTGTCTGTCACCTTTCTGGATCTCTATTTCCCTTGTTAGAGTATCTCTCTCTCTCTCTCTCTCTCTCTCTCTCTCTCTCTCTCTCTCTCTCTCTTCTTTCTCTCTCTGTCTCCCCTCATGTCTGTACAGATTACAGTTTTCTTCCCATTTCTGTTCCCTTGTGGCTATCACCCCATGTCTCCATGCTAGACCACAAGGAAGACCCAACAGAATGGGGGTTTGATGTGGAGTATGTGGAAGGAGGGCTCCATATTCCTAGTTCACTCAGAGCCCTTTGGATGAATGCCCGAATCCAAAGATACAGAATCCAGCCCACCTCCTATAGTTAGTCACACTGGGCAGGCTGGTTCAGTCCTTCATCCACATTCATGACACCACCCTTGCTCCCTCTGCTGTCATCTTGGGTCCTGGTGCTACCACTAAATGCAAGGTTACTTAGCATGGTCCTATGGATCTCATACACACAGTCCAACTCAACCCAACATTCCTACAGGCCTCACACAATGACATACTTCAGCAGGGCTCCACGAGGCTCCAACAGCCATAGGGTCCCACTGAAAGAACAGATCTTACAGTACTGTTCACCTACGTCCCAATTCAATGTGGTCCTGAAAGTCTTCCAGCCACATAACACATCTCAACCCAATGGAACCCTGGAAAATGCATTTAGCGATATGTTCCAATGCAATCTAGTGTGTCAAGAACACTCACATTCTATCAGTTGACTGGATTTCGACATGACTCACAAGTTCACAAAACCTAAAATAACATAGGCCTACACAAAACACAAAGCCACACAATTTTCAACAGGTCTCAATGCAACTCAACACCAACATTCATGACCACACAACTGATCTGAACAATGGCTTGGATGACCACCTGACTTGATCCAATATGGCCCTAGGGGTCTCAAAGCCACAGAATCTTGCATAAAGCACTCAGACAAGAGTTAGTCAGACTCACCCTGCTCCAAGTGGTACCCAACATGGACCTAGGAAACTCATGACATGATATGACCAAAACCTATCTCAGCCCTACCCAAAAGGCCCCACAAGCTCTGCACAACTCTGTAATATGAACCCATGGAGTCACCCCTCAGCTCAACACAAACCATTGTCATTCATCCCTACTTAATGGGGTACCCAAGGAGCTATCAAACCATACAACTCAAGATCCAACAAGACTCAAGTGCTCCCCATTCATTTCCACTTACCCTAGTTCTTCCTAAACCCCAATCCCCTCCCTACTTCCCCTCCTTTCTTCCCCCCTCCCTCCTTCCAAGGAGGTGTGAGGTCCTGCAGACCTCGCTGTCTCTCACACTTCGGTGACCAGGTGTTTCCCAGGGGGGGCCCAGAGTGGAGGTGGGAGTTCAGGCATCTCTCCATCCACCAACCCCCCATTGGCTTTGCCCTCCAGTGTGCCACAGGGCTGCATGTCCACATGGCTGAACATCCCGGCCTCTTCGCCCTCTGTCTCCCGATGGTAAAAGTAGCTGAAGTTGGAGACGATGACTGGCACAGGCAGAGAAATGGTCAGCACGCCGGCGATGGCACACAGAGAGCCCACTATCTTGCCACCCACAGTGACGGGCGCCATGTCTCCATAGCCAACTGTGGTCATGGTGACCACCGCCCACCAGAAGGATTCAGGGATGCTGGTGAAATGGGAGTCCACCCGGTCAACTTCAGCAAAGTACACAGCACTGGAAAAAAGGACGACTCCGATGAAGAGGAAGAAGATAAGCAGCCCCAGCTCGCGCATGGAGGCCCGCAGCGTCTGGCCCAAAATCTGCAGGCCCTTGGAGTGCCGAGACAGCTTGAAGATGCGGAAGACGCGCACCAATCGGATGACTCGTAGGATGGCCAGTGACATGGCTGGCTGACCCACGCCCCGCTGCCGGGCCAGCTCAGTGCCCAGTGCTACAAAGTAGGGCAGGATGGCCACAAAATCGATGAGGTTCATCACGTTCTTGAAGAAAATGGCCTTGCTCGGGCAGGCCGCCAGGCGTACCAGCAGTTCAAAGGAGAACCAACAGATGCACAGGGTTTCCACCACAAAGAATGGGTCGTTGAAAGGTAAGCGCGGAGGAGTTCCAGGCACTAGACTGGAGCCATTCAGCCGAGCCGAGAACTGTGGAGAGGAAAGGGTTCAAGGAGGGCCAATCCGGGGCTGGGACTCTGGGACAGCCTTAGCCATTTAAATATCCAACGACTGTCCACAGGTTGCTCAACGGCCACTGCCCCAAGTGCCCAGGGACCTGGCTGTCCTATTGTCCATCCTAGGACCTCAGGGATTGTCCCTGGATTGACTTTCTGATCTCCTGACCCATGGATGGTACTGGGGTTTGAACTCAGGGCTGACACCTTGAGTCACTCACCAGCTCTGCTTTTTGTGTTGGGTTTTTTCGAGATAGAGTCTCATGAACTATTTACCCAGGGCTGCCTTCGAAACTTGATCCTCCTGATCTCTGTCTCCTGAGTAGCTAGGATTACAGGCGTGAGCCACCAGCACTGGCAAACAAAACCTGTCATAAGGTTTTGTTTTGTTTTGTTTTTGGTGGTAGTGGGGTTGAACTCAGGGCTTCATGCTTGCTAGGCAGATGCTCTGCCACTTGGGCCATGCATCCAGCTCTGTCCCTATCCCTTCACTAGAAGTAACTGCTGACCCGATGCTTAAGTAGGGTACAATCTCTTCCTTCCCAAAGTTCCCTGCCCTCCCACTCCCCAGAATTGATTTTTTTCAAATGGGGAGGGTCTCTGCAATGGCGCCACCTACTCCTGACCTGCTTTTCCTTTCCTTCCTCAACCCCAGACCAGGCTATAATGGTTCAAGGTCTTTACCTTACAAAAGTCAGCTCAACACACCCAGCCTGACTTTCTTTGTGATTAATACCTCCTCCCAGCACCCAGAGTCCCCTGCCCCACTCCATGCTCCAGCTCCATTTCTCCAGGCTCCAGCTTGCACCCACCAATCTACCCCATAATTCCCACTGGTCTCTGCCAACTGCACAGTCCCTGGAGTTTTTGGACTCCTTCACCCCATAACTTCAATAATTTTATTTTTGTTTCTTGAGATAGGGTCTTGCCATGTAGCCTAGGTTGTCCTTGAACTCACAATCCTCCTGCCTCAGCCTCCCAAGTGCTAGAATTACAGGAGTGCTCCACCATGCCTGGCTCACAAATTTTGTGTGTGTGTGTGGGGCGAGGTCTGGGGTTTGAACTCAGGGCTTCAAATTTGCAAAGCAGGCACTCTACCGCTTGAGCCACACCTCCAGTCTATTTTTCTCTGGTTATTTTGGAGATGGAGGTGTTGCAAACTATTTGCTTGGGCTGGCCTTGAACCTTGACCCTCCCAATCTCAGAGTCCCTCATAGCTTTGATTTTTAAATATTCTTGTTCTCCTGCCCCCTGCCCCAAAGGGCCCTATGTGCTCCCCTAGCCAGCTTTCTCACAGGGCAAGTCCTTCCCCTGGGATCCTCAGATGCCACCCCCAGCCCAACTGTCTCAGTGGCAGTCCCTTGTCAAGTCCAGTCCCTGGGTTGCCCACCAAGTGAAGCCCTTTGCCACGCCTTCTAATTGGCCAGATCCTCACGGGCCCCACCCATCACCTCCAAACCCCGCCCCTCTCCATTCAGGCCCCGCCTCTCACCGGGCCAGCCGCAGCAGCCACAGCGGCTAGTCCTGGGTCGTCGCGGTCGTCTCGGAAGTCCGGCAGCGTCTCGAGGCAGAAGACGACGATGGAAACGAGGATGACAAGTACGGAGACGACGGCCAGCACGCGCGCCGCCTGCGAGCTCTCGGGGAACTCGAAGAGCAACCAGAGCTGGCGCGCAAAGGCGCGGCTGGGCAGGGGCCGCTCGGGTGGCACCGCGCAGCCCTCGTCCTCGCGCAGGCGCGCCAGCGCCGCCGCCCCCAGCCCGTAGAAAGCCACCTCCTCCAGGAAGACGTCGAGCGGCACGTGCGCCGGCCGTCGCAGCCGCCCTCCCGACTGGTAGTAGTAGAGCACGGCGTCGAAACTGGGGCGGTGGCGGTCGAAGAAGTACTCGCGGCGCGCGCCGTCGTAGAAGCGGCTGCGGCGCACTGGGTCCCCGAGCAGCGTGTCCGGGAAGCGGCCCAGCGTGCGCGCTCGCGTCTCGAAGCGCAGCCCAGCCACGTTGAGCACCAGCCGCTCGCAGCAACCGCAGGGCGGCGGGCACCGCGGCTCCATGGCGCGCGCAGCCCTGGCGACCCGCGGACGGACGTGTGGCCCCGACGCCCGGCCCGGCGCGGCCCCGCCTCGGCCGCCGCCGCCGCCGCCGCCGCCGCCCCAGCCCCAGCCCGGTGTCCGGTGTCCGCGCGTAAAAATAGCCCGGCCGTCCGGCCAGGACGCGGGGGAGGGGGCGCCGTGACCCCGGCGGGGCGGAGGGCGGCCGGGCGCCCTCTGCCGGGGCTTGCGCTGTTCCCCCCCCCCCCAGCCCTACCACATCACGCTGACCCCCGCGGTTGTCCTCTCTCTCCTTTGTCACCGTCGCCCGGGAGATCGGCCCTGCTTTCCGAGTTTCCTCGAGTCTTGTCCCTTTCCGTGATCGCTCTTCCCGTCTCTGTCTCTTATCTGTCCTCCTGGGTCTGTTGGGATGTATCTCTGAGTATCTTTTTTTTTTTTTTTTTTAAGTCTCACTTTGTAGCCCAAGCTGGCTTTGAACTCGAGATCCTCCTGCCTCAACTTCCCACGTGCTGGGATTACCTAGTCCGAGAACAGTGGTGTTCACAAACTAATTGATCATAACCAAGTGCTGGATTTCAGGTGTGCGCCACCAGCCTGGCTATCTTTGATTACTTTATGCTCCAGTTACCTCTGAAGTCTGTGGGACCTCTGGGAGAGGGGGATTCCAGTATTTTTCTGGATCTCCATCTTTATTTTGACTCTTGTTTCTTGGGAGGTCTGTCTCTTGTCTCTCTTTGTTTCTCTGGGTCGTCTCCTCGCTCTTTATTTCTTAGCCCTCCGCATCTCTGTCCCTAGGTGTCTCTGAAGCGCCCTTCTGTTTGCTGAATGTCTTTCTCTCCCTGTATTTGTGAATGACTGCGAGTGTCTGTCCTTGTGTGTCCGGAGGACTCGGTCATTTCCCTGAATCTCTGACCATCACTGTGGGCTCAGCACCTCCTGGTGGCTGCGGGGTCCTGGTGCCCCTTCGGCAGCTGTAAACCACTGAACATCTGTGCCCCATCCTCTCTCCAGAGTGTGCCCGGAGGTCTCCACTTGGATTCTCTGTAAAATTCTGAGACCAGCAGGGCCCAAACTGTAGTCCTGAATGGCGCAAAAGGAGACGGGGCCTGCCAGGAACCGGTTGTAGGGTGGCCGGACAGATGCAGCAGGGTCATTCTCAGGAACCGAAGGGCAGACAGAAGATGGCTTTCCAGCCCCCGGTGTCCGGTGACACCGTGTAAAAATAGCCCCATCGGATGGGCTGGGGGGCGGGGTGTGGTAGTGGTGGGCATTGATCTCTCCCCACTAGCGAGAAAGGGTATCGGGCGCCCTCTGCTGGGGTCATAGAGGGAGACACTAGCGTTGTAATGTGCTAATTCTGGCTTTTTTTTCACTGCCTATTTCCTTCTGGGATGCTGTCCTCCCTCTCTCTGGTAGGTGTCCATCTTGTCCGTCCTTTCCCTGTTGGCTTTTTTTTTAAATGGGGTCTCGCTGTTTCCCCTGCTGGCCTCAAACTCCTGGGATCAAGTGATCTCCCTGCCTTGGACTCTGGAGTAACTGGGAGTACAGGGGACCCCACTGGGCTCTTTCATGGTCTTTGACCCTTCCTATGTCTGGTCTCCTTCATCCCCATCTCTTTGGTCCCCTTTTTTCCTCTGTCTCCTCTTTTTCTCTCATTCTCTGCCCCTCCCTTTGTGGGTCTCTGGGCTATCTGTGTTTCTGTGCTCTATTGCAGGGCTGAATTTTCCATAAATCAACCTAGAGCTGCACAGTGGTTCCAAATCTTATTCATGAGTAAAGGTGCATTATAGCTGGGGGGGGGTGGGAGGTGCTGGGTGCGTGGGTTTTTTTTTTTTTTTTTTGCATGATGTGGTTTTTACTCAGGGCTTCACGCTTGCTAGGCAGGCTCTACCGCTTGAGCCACTCCAGCAGCCCTTTTTTGTGTTTGGTATTTTTGAGATAGAGTCTCCCTTTCATTTTGTACAGGCTGGCCTCAAACTGTGATCCTCCTGACTTTGCCTCCTGAGTGGCTAGGATTACAGATGTGAGCCACCAGTGTCCCACATGGTTTCCAGTGGCTTCTTTTCCCACAGTTCCTTAATTCCCAGCCAGCTTGCACACCATCAGCCTACGGTGGCCCCCATCCCTCACAACTCCCACACCTTTTGGGGAACAGGAAGTCATGGTGTGTCACCAGCAGATCTCCTACATCCCCCAGCACCTCCTTGCTCTAACTGACACCTGCTGCTCCCAGAAGTCTCCACATCTCTGTCCCTTAGACACTCCTGCTGGTGAGACTGGAGGGAGGACAGGTGTCTTCTTGCTTCTCCTTGCTGCTTCCTGACAATTGTCCTTTACTCTCTGAAATTTCAATACCTCTTTTTCCTTTTTTCTGTACTGGAAATTGAACTCAGGCTTTCTCACTTGCTAGGCAAGTGCTCTCTACTACTCCAGCCACACTCCCAGCCCTTTTGCTTTTAGTTTTTCAGTTAGGTTCTCCATATTATGCCCAGTTGGCCTTTGGACTACGATCCTCCTGTCACTGCCTCCTGATAGCTGGGACCATAGACATGTACCACCACACCTGGCTTGTTTTTGAGTTAGGGTCTCTCTAACTGTTGCTAAGGCTGGCCTCAAACCTCTATCCTCTTACCTGTACCTCCCGAGTCTCAGGGATTATAGGTGTGAGCTACCACACTCAATCTGATTTCAACTTCTCTGAAGCCCAGGCCAGCCATGGATACCTGTTCCCATTCTTTGGTGGGCTCATCCATTATCTTGTGGTCACTCCTACTCATTCATGGATGACTCTAGATCCTGGTTTTCTTTCCTTCACACCAAAACTACTGTCATAGTTCATAGTAATTTCAGTAACCTTGGGAATGAGTGTTCAAAGACCTGGCCTGGTGTAGGTTGTCTTTTCCAAAAATGGCCACCAGATTTCTTATCCCACATGGCTATCTGGAACCTTTCCACACCCCATCACATGGAGTCTGTGTCCCCAGTTCTGGTGACACACCACTGAGGAGGTGAGACTGTGCAATTTCTGAGGTCGGGTTGTAAAAGGTCAAGCAGCATTCCATCCAGCTCTTTTCCTTGGGACACTTGTCCCAGCCAAATGGCAAGAACCACACGTAGAAGATACTCTGCTGCTGGACATTGGTGGCCATAGCAGAACTCGTGACCACACCCGGCACTGACTTGCAGTCATGTGAGTGAGCTGTCCTGGAAGCGAGTCCTCCTGCCTGTCCACCTAATCCCTCCCATGCTCCTGACCTAGAGTGACACACACGCGCAGTCAACGATCTTTGTTTTTTGAACAGTGTGGTTCTGTCCTGGCTGGTTATGTCTACCACAGTAATAGACAGCCAGAATGTGGCCCTTGGGTGTGCCATCCTGCCACTTCTAGTTTGACCTCCAGCCTGCTTCAGCCTCTTCCTTTTTGTTTTGTTTTATTATTTTGGGGCTTAATCCCAGGGCCTTGCACATGCTAGGTGAACTCTCTACAGCTGAATTATTCCCCCAGCCCTAAAAAAATTGTTTTGTTAAGATATAATTGTGTGCTGGGTGCCAGTGGCTCTCGCCTGTAATCCTAGCTACAGCTCAGGAGGCAGAGATCAGGAGGATTGCTGTTTGAAGCCAGCCTGGGCAAATAGTTCTCAAGACCCTATCTCGAAAATACCTTACATAAAAAGGCTGGTGGAGTGGCTCAAGGTATAGGCCCTGAGTTCAGGCCCCAGTACTGAAAAAAGAAAAAAAAAGAAAGATACAATTACATAAGACACCATACAATTCACTCATTTAAAGGGTATAACTCAAGGACTGGGTGTGGTGGTGCACATCTGTAATCCTAGCAATCAGGAGGCAGAGGCAGGAGAATCACCAGTGGGAGCCAAGCTTGGACTACGTAGCAAGGCTCTGTCTAAAAAGTCAAAAACCTGCTATATATTAACAGAGTTGTGTATCCATCACCACATGCTTATAACATTCTTGTTATCCCTCAAAGAAGACCTGCACCTTGTATCTGTTACCTGCTAGTCATGTCATCCACGTTTATGGTCTTAACCTGGCCCATATCACTACCTCTTCCCGTGTAACATGCCTCCTCTAGGCTCTTTTTTCTTTTCTTTTGAGACATAGTCTTCCTGTGTAGCCCAATCTAGCCTCAAACTCACAGTCCCCTGCCTCAACCTCTCCAGTGCTGGCATTACAGATGTGCAAACCGTCACATCTGCTCCCATCACCCCAACTTTCTCTTTGGCCCTGGTGGAGTTTGAGCTTGGCCTCATGCTTGCTAGGCAGGTGCTCTACCACTTGAACCAGTCCGGCAGCCCTGTTTTGTGTTGGGTATGTTTGAGTTAGGATCTCGGGACTGTTTGTTCAGGTTGGCTTTGAACTGAGATCCTCCTGACCTCTGCCTCCTGAGTAGCTAGGGTTACTGATGTGAGCCACTGGCACCCAGCCACCCAAATTTTTTAAACTTCCAAACTCACCAGCAGCACCAATACATTGACCCTGTTACCTTTTTACTGTCTTCTGACTCCCAGCCTACATCCCATAATCCACTAATGAAGTGACTCCTAGGGCTGGGGTGTGGCTCAGTGGCAGGACACTTGCCTGCCATGCCCAAGGCCCTAGGATCTGTCCATGTCCAACAACACACACACACCGCTTCTTTTCCCATGTGGTGAACTCTCACCTGTCAAGCCCATCTCTCGCCTACTAGAGAGAATTGATGGGGCTGGACCAAAATGGTACACCTATCCTTCTGTGTTTGTGACCTCAAATCCCAGCTGTACAATGCTACATGTCCCTAACCCGTGCGGTCTCCACATCGGCAAGAAACATTACCCAGATTTGTTCTCTGCAAACTGTCTGAAGCTTTGGGACCCCTCTCACCTTCTGCCCACTGAAACAAGAACTCCACTAGAACATTTGATCATCTGCAGTCCACACCACCATGTGCCCAAATGCCCTGCTTCTCATTGGTTAGGGTGCGTCACTTGACCTGCCCCAGTCTAAGACCAATGTCCTGCTCAGGATGCTGAACCCCATCTTCCTGTCTCACCCCAAAACTCTGCTGATGTCCTAGCTCCTAATTCTCTTTTGATGATGGTCCCCAAAGATGTCCAAATCCTAATCCCTGGGACTTTTGAATATATTACCTCATATGCAAAAAGACTTTGAAGATGTTACATTAAGTTAGGGCTCCTGGTTTGAGGTGACCCCCGGCTATCTGGGTGGTTAATGGTCTTTATAAGAG